GAGACCCGACGGTATGGGTTTGGTTGCTTGAGAAAGAGAGAGAGAGAGAGAGAGAGATAAAGCTTTAGTGTGGAATACTACTTGCGAACACTTTGATAGCATCCCATCTCAGGGGTACCTCGTATAAGCAGAGGTGGGATTAGAGGCAACTGAATTAAGTAAATAGCCCAGAATATCTAGAAGATGAGTACATATTTGTGCAATTTGCTGTAGAGACTATTGGTCTGTAGGGTACACGTGCGGCGTAATTCCTAAAAAACTGTATCTGCAACTGATCTTCGCTGCTGGTAATAAGAAGTTGTTTAGTTTGTTGTTTCCTCGCTTGAAGGCTAAGTATAGCCATTCAGAGAGGACACGTAGCCAGCATTCTTGGGACGATACCACGGAAAGTAGGACTTTATGATAATTTCTGTAATTTTTTTTAATATTGTTATTTTAATTTCGATAATGACGTTGTAAATAACTGATAACTATGTAATTCAGAGTTTGTATTTTATCTTGCTAGCTCGTATCTGGCGCATTGCTGCTGCAGATGAAGTAATTGTGGAAATATCGTTAAAAATGTGCAACAGTTATATTGTATAATTAGTAATGATAATACAATCATTGAAATAGAATGATATGTAACTTTCTATAACTTTCAAATAACTAGTCAGTATAATACGCACGCCACCAAATGTCAGTTAATTGTACCATGCGTATAACCTTCGCACAAGTGCAACCAATAAGTTGAATAAGTTTTACCGCAATCTGATGAACGGTATAGCATCGTAGAAAGTACGAACAAACATAAATTTTTTTATAGTAGAAAATGTTTTACTGTCTATAAACAGACCTGTAGTTGATTGGAATAGGCGTTATTATAGCAGCTGATTTGTTTTTTATAATATTAGAACTAAATGAACGGTTGACAATAAATAATTTTAGGAATTATGTTTTTATTTTTATTTTGTGTAGTTAGTTTAATCTTAATAATTTTTAGTTGAATGGTCTAAGGGCTACGATGGCTATTCGAGTAAAAGTAGTCAGAAAAAGAATACAAAACTAATCCAACTGTAGAGATGTGTAAGACAGGGTAACGTAACATCCCCGGAATACTTTACCGCTGCATTGGAAGACGTTTTCAAGCTACTGGACTGGAAAGGATACGGTATGAACGTCAATGGCGTGTACGTCACTCACCTTCGATTTGCCGACAATATATTCCTTATGGCAGAATTGCTGGAGGACCTACGCACTATGTTCAATGACCTCAATAGTGTCTCCCAACTGATAGGTCTTTAGATGAACATGGACAAAACAAATATCATGTGTAATGTCAATGTCACACCTATGCCGGTGGTTTTTGGGAGCACTAAGCTGAAGTTGTTGACGAGTTTTTTTACTTAGGACAAATAGTCCGACTAGGTAAGTCAACTTCAACCGACAGGTCAATCGACGGATTCAACTCGGCTGGGCAGCGTTCGAGAAATTACAACACATCTTCTCGTCAGGAATAACTCAAAACTAGATTGTACAACCAATGCGTGTTGCCAGTGATGAAATATGGATCTAAGACGAGGTCTTTCACTGCTGGCCGTATGAGGAAGCTCGAAGTCGCACAGCGAGCTATGCTTGGCTATGCTCAGGGGTTCAAACTTAGAAATGAGAACCAGAGTGACCGACATCGCCCAATGGATTAGTAAGCTGAAGTGGCAATTGACCGGCCATATAGCTCGAAGAACCGAATACCGATGGAGAAAAAAGGTTCTCGAGTGGCAGCCTCGTACCGGCAGGTGAAGTGTAGGACGTTCCCCCACTATATGGATTCAAAACCTGGTAAGATATACAGGAAGTTGATAGATGCAGGTGGCTCAGGACCGTGCTTCCAGGACCCTTCACCAGTCTACTGCTGAACATAGGCTTCTTGGGGGAGGCCTATGTTCAGCAGTAGACTGGTGAAGGGCTTTAATGATGATGAATGATAATGGCATTACATTAATATGATACATAAATAGAATGGACGTTACGGGTAGAGTCAATCTATACATAGAGTCCATTATATTTAGGTATAGGTAGGGTATAGAATTTTATCGATATAATTTGGTACACTGTCTCATCCCTATTATTAGTTCCGTGGACGTGCACTTTTGCTGTCAGCGCCAAAATGCCGGAAATCAAATCGCTTCATCATGTCACGGTATATAGCCAGTCCAGCGTAATTGTATATATAGAGGTCAGTGTATACATTAGATTGACGATGGAGTGATTAGGGTGAGACCAAAAACGAAATGTACCGATGTGTGTCAAATGCGCATATGTGCGAGATGAATGGTGCATCAACTTCAATTATCGATACAGAGCGCTCTGTCCGTATCATAAAATGAATATATTTATGTTTGAGGCACGAAAATAAAACAATAAACAAAAAGTTTGTGATTTTTTATTTTCTTCCAAAAATAACTAATTTATTACAAAAATGTCGTAAGCTCTCCTTAGAGGTATTTTGAAATTTTGCTTCATAATTCAATCTAGTAACCAAATAAGTATTCGTTATTAATTATCCGTTAGCAATTAAGTGTTTATGATTTGATATTTCTGGCGAATCATATATATGTATGTCAAGTATGTCAAAATATTTTAAGGACATAAGGCACAATATACATTCGTTTACTAATTTTCAAAACATATTTTCTTTTACAGTTTTTCTTCATATATTTTCGAAAAACGCGTTCAGAATCAATACCTATCCCACAAACATTTTGAGAGGGATAAACGAGGCCAACTACATCTTTCATGTTTATAAGTGAACCTTCCCTAACTTCACCATAAAGTACATTTATATACGGGATTCGCATTAAATTTTATTGGCGATTTTTTGCCTCGCAACCGCATAAGTACAGAACAATGGACTTAACTACAGTATCCATGCCTTCAGGAATCCATGGCATAGATGATACGAAATCAGAATCTTCATTATCGACTTGGCCTGGGATAATAGCCACATCATCGTATGGCGTCACCATTGCATTTTTTCTTTTCTTATAGTATTTATGGTTTCTAAGGCTTCCTTGGTGATGCCGGATATACAGCCTACATTTTGGTAACAGACTCGTAGTGTTCGAGGATGTGATGATCAGTTTGTGTTTTATTCGAATGTTTATTCGAAATGAAATTCTTCGAAAATAGCCTGAGCAATATTGCTTAATGAAATGTGTTGTTGTTTTAACTTGGATATGTTTTGATTAAACTTTGTTTTGTACTGATACTCATAATTATAACGTTTTGTTGGGTTTTAATTTGCCAGCCAATGTGTAGAAAAATATGTGTTTTAAGTTATGCGTTAAAGAGTAATATAATAAGAAATAATTTACTTAACATACAAATACTCTGAAGTGACTATCATTAAACATCCCAATAGTCCGTAACTACCCTAATAAGTTATATTCGCAAGCCATAGAGATGAGTCATTGACAGTTTTTTTTGTAAACGTAACTAAACCATTGGCTGCTATTCGTTAACAAGTTGATAAACTGGTAGAATTAATCAACTAGTTGACGTATTTATTAAACGTCAACTTGCTAAGCTAAACAGTTTACTGATGACTTACCACTACAAACTCATGTTTTAGACTATTATATCTTTTTTTTCATACAATTTATAATGCTTCCCGATAACTTAACTTTATTATAGTTTAAAATTATGAAGATTATTAACTTTGGCTATAACATTAATAAATCTCACGAACTGCAAATTGTAAATACAAACGCCGTAATTAATATCGCCATCCTTTTCTTACACATTTTTCTCTATCACGATTGTTAGACGAATAGTTGAGGACCGTTTTGCGTCGCATCAAGGAGCAAGGAGTTAAAGAAGTTGTGTACGTTTAAGAATTTCGTTTGAAAACGTCTCGTTGTCTTAATAAGTAATATCATTCGAAACGTCGTTGACGAATTCAACAAGTTGATTGACATATCATTAACGGTTAACAGGTTGACAGAAGATCAACGGTTGATTCAACTAGTTCATTGATTCTGTGCCCATGCCTAGCAAGCCGCAATCCGTACCACCAATAATAAGTTAATAAAGCAAAGGGAAGGGAATGGACCACACGTAGACAGAAAAACCTATAGACTAATGATTAGCGTGGCCTCGAGTGAGAAAGGACGATAACGTAGTTTTAGGTTATACAATAACTTGATGACTTTTAAACATATTTAGATAACACTTTTAATTATTCTAAGAACTGAACTGAACAAGATTCACCAATCTTAAGCTCACAAAACACTTTTTTCTCACTTAAACCAACTTGTAAACTCCTTAGATCACTACGAACTGTCAAAGTTGTTTAGCAAAGTGTAGTTTGCTAAACAAAAAAACCAACACGGAGAAAGGGACAAACAATCACATCACTATGTCTCATTTCTATGCAAGACGTATGCATAAATCTATCTTTTTCGTGTGCGAATGCGAAAGAAGGCGTCAATTTGTCTTAAGGTTTCTCTGTCTACGGGACCACAGTTAAATTAGCGTTTGAGAATGGTTTGACGAATGATTTAATAAAATATACAACACTAGAACGAAATAAAATCGAATATTTTAAATTTCAAAGTTACTATTTGAAAAATCATTCGGACGAATCACGCATTTTCGTCATCTCTATTACATTATCACTTTTCACATTTAATAAATTTTTAATGGCGATGGTCGTAGTTGATGCCAATCCACAGAGTACATTTTGTTTAACTGCAAACTAAGTTCAGATTTGCTTTTCGGTTAAAGATTACATAAAGTATGAAGAAATTTTAGTTATAATTGCTAAGTTATCGTATTCACTAAGATAAACGTGGCTATCATGTGTTGTGACCTATCGATTTTTTATAGATTTTTTGTAGTTCTGTAAAATCGCTTACTGAGGCAGCTGAGGAAGCCCTTGTACTCATTAGATTACGAAGTTAACTTAACGAATAAATGTAGGTTGTCATGTTCCATAAAATTGTAATTTTGTTTTTGTGGAAATGTCCGTACATTACAAATTTAAAAGTGCATTGGATTATGACACAGTCACATTCGATGGCCTACACATTTCAGTAGGAGACCTTAAAGCAGCTATATCACAACAGAAAAGGATTGGAAAGACTTCCGATTTTGATCTTCAAATAACTAATGCTCAGACTAAAGAAGGTGGGTTTTAACAAAATTGAGTTAAATTATATGTTATTAACAGTAACTGACAGAAGACTATACAGAAAGACTATACGGAAGACTATACAGAAAGACTATACAGAAAGACTACAGAAGACTATACAGAATTCAGAAATCAGTTTTTGTTATCTTCTTAATCAAATTGATTTAAAATTACTTATTTTGGATAGTTAGCCCACACAAATAACTAATTATCCGGTTTTCCTTACCTTTTGACCGTGTACCATATTCAGTACACGGACTCGAGTTGAAATAGTGTGTAAACTTAGTGCGTACTGTGGACTTGTGAACATCAAGTTTGAAAAAAAAAAACGAAATATTGAGACAAATGTCATTCGTAAGCCTGTCTTCATCATCTTCAAGTACACTGTTAGGATCCAATAGGAGCTCACATTTTTAGAACCCATTGGCAATGTTAGGGATATTTTTGAATGTGGTAGAACCACGCTGCAGCTATATTATAGTTGTAGCACGAATGGGTCGGCTCGACCGGGGAAGGAACATGGTCTCACAGAATACCAGCGTAAAATAGCAGCTTAATACTGCTGTGTTTCGTATGAGTATAGAGATCTGGAGACCCTTTTTTACTGGAAATGAGGCATTCAATCTTAGTCCTCAGGGGTGACGACACATCTGCGTTTTGATTCTTAATTTAGGATAAATGTAGATGTCTATGGACCACAGCATCCACTTACCATCAAGTGAACCGTGTGCTCATTTGTCACTTATTCTATAAAATAATTTTATATAAAGTCTGTACTATAAGATGTTGCTTTGGTTGTTATAAACAACTTATTGACATTGAAAGTCTTCTAAAAATGACAAGAACAAAAGCCAAAAGAGTGACAATGCACTGCAAAAACTTATTTTATGCAATGTTTTTTTGAAACTCCATTGCACAAATAATGCCATTTTCTTTTTTCTATTACCCACACAGAGAGAAAAAAAGAAATGTTTTACGTTTTTTTATTGGTGCTCTGTTAACAAGTCCTGACAAATAGAGCAAACTAACTCCGAAGTCCATGAAGTTAGAGCTCAAAGAACGTGGCAGGGGTGCATGTAACATTTAAGGCATATAGACGTGACAAACACAAGCGGGGTGTACTGTATTTGGTGCAGTGCAGTACAGTTAATGTGTTAAAGTATTCCAGTGTTTCTGTATTTTTTTCCTTTAAAAAAATGTGATATCTTATTTATATTATTTACAGTGTATGTGGATGATCATACTTTAATTCCAAAAAACACATCACTTCTAGTGGCTAGAGTCCCACTTTCTCAGCAACCTAAGAAACAGTGGGAAGGCTCTAACCCAAATTCAGCATTGCAAAAAGATGTTGCTGTTAATAAGGGATTGGCTGATCTGTCTCTCATGGAAGGTAGCGAACAGGATAAAATAAATGCTATGATATCACAATCTACTTTTGACTACGACCCTAGCAAGTAAGAATTATTTAACTATTAAAAAGAATTATTAAACTATATCATTGCAATATGTTTAAAATAAATGTAATGAGAGAGATCTTAAAATAAGTCAATGAAATTCATTTTTGATCAATAGGCCATTAATTGTTAAACATTTAGCCTTTGATAAACATTTCTGAAAAACAATTTGCTTTTTGTTACTTTAAATTATAAATATAATATCATAATTTATAGCTACAACCATTTGTAAGGTTTCAGAGGGGTAGTGAAGTCGTCGAAAAACAGATGGATGATAAAAACTTTAGGGAGCACATTCATGTAAACTCAATAACAACAGAATCGTAAAGTATATCTATCACTGTACACTAAATAGCCGGCCCAGTGATTCATTTTATGCATTTTGAGATGACTGACAGGTGCAATGTCAAAAACGTTAGAATTTAGTTAAATGTATGTTCCATTTCACGTTTAGTTAGTGATTTACGAATATTTTTAAAAAATAATTAAAAATACTTTGACGCTGCTCTGGCGGCAAAAACTGCATGGTGGTGCTACAGATAGACTCCCTTGACCCCCCACAGTGACAGAATCCCAAATTCAGGCGACCTAATTTCAAACCCAACCCAAATTAATAATATGTTTTGCTGTTCATTTAAATTATAAAGTTGAATACAAACCATCTCTCATTTTTGAAAGTGTTAGATTATGTGATGAATGTGATTCCACATTTCCTTGAAATATTTAATTCCTCACAGGACAAGTACACTTCTAGCAGAAGTATAGTGAAAAATTAGAATCAGAATAGTTTATTTGTTGAACATAGGTGGTAGTTTAGGACTTCAAAGTTGTGATAAACAATGTCAGTGATGTGGGTAGCCATCAAAGTCAGGTTGTTCACTTAATGTGAAATTTGAGATAAATACCTTGCCCTTAATTTTTTTTATTATATTATATTTTTTTAATTTAAATTTAATTATCATCAATGGATAATTAAATTTAACTTTAGATTGTCTTTCATGAACATTCCATTTATTTGTATTTAACAAAGTGAATGTTGTTTGGAAATAAATATGATATAGGTTATTCCTACATTGTTAGTGTGTGTGTAGTAAAATTAAAAATTTTGTTCAACTGACTTTGTTATAAATAAAATGAGAATATCAGCAATGTGGTTGAAGTCAATTAAATACGCATTATTAAAGGTAACTCGAAAACTACTGGTCAGATCTTGATAAAATTTATGTAGAACCACATGAGAAGCACCAGCTTTTAAATAAAAACAGTCAAAGAAACATCAAAATATGTAAGAAAAAAACAGTTAAATTGAGTACTTCCTCCTTTTTTTGAAGTTGGTTAAAATATAATCATTTGCTAAATTAATCTAATAAAACGGTGAGCTGAAGTTACGGAAATTTGGAGTAGGGCAACGGAACCTTAGGGGCCAGCAGCTGGCCGACTTTATGGAGAAAGAGGGACTCTTTATGATGAACTCTTTCTTCCGGAAGCCGCCCCACAGCAAGTGGACCTGGTCGAGCCCCGACGGTTCGACAAAAAATGAGATTGACTTCATTATGACAACCAGACGCCAACTGTTCAGTGATGTCTCAGTGATTGCATGGGTGAAAACTGGCAGCGATCACCAAATAGTTAGAGGCACACTGAACCTTAATGTTAAGTTGGAGAGGTTTTGTCTAATGAAGTCAACGCTCCGTCCCCCTCGTGCTCTGATCCAGAATCCCGAAACTTTTCAGCTCGAGATACAAAACCGCTTTCAGTGCCTAGATGACTGCAATACAGTGGATGATATGAATGACAAGCTCGTGGAAACTGTCCATGCGGTCGGAGCTAAGTTCTACAAGACCTGTTGCAGAAGAACACAAAAACTCTCCGATCACACTCTTAATCTCATGGATGTTAGACGGGAGATCAAGCTGCAGTCGTCAGCAGATTTGACAGCATACAGGCAACTGAACAGACAGATCTCTAATTACATGCGGCAGGACTTACGCAACTTCAATACAGCTCGTATTGAAGAAGCGATTGAGTGGACCCAGGGCTCCAAAGTCTTTACCAGAGATCTGTCTGCCGGAAAGAGCCAACTGTCAAAGCTGAAGACTGAGTGTGGCGGCATCTTTTCCGGGACACCTGAGATTCTGAGTGAGATTGAGAGGTTTTGGGCAGTGTATGGAGTGGTCGGAGCAAGTCCTATCGACACTTCCGAGATATCCCGGACGTCAGTCTAAGCGAGATTAGAATGGCTCTCCAGCACCTTAAAAACGGCAGGGCCCCAGGCGAGGATGGAATTACAGCGGAGCTTCTGAAAGCGGGTGGAACACCGGTACTTGAAGTCCTTCAGAAGCTCTTTAATTCCGTCCTCCATGGTGGCACTACTCCGGAGACGTGGAGCAGAAGTACGGTGGTCTTGTTCTTTAAGAAAGGCGACAATGCTCTCCTGAAGAACTACAGACCGATTTCCCTTCTGAGCCGCGTCTACGTGCTGTTTTCGAGAGTCATTACGAATCGTCTCGCACGCAGACTCGACGACTTCCAGGCTCCCGAACAAGCCGGTTTCCGAAAAGGCTTTAGTACCATAGACCACATACATACCCTGCGGCAGATTGTACAGAAGACCGAAGAGTACAATCTGCCACTATGTCTGGCGTATGTGGACTATGAGAAAGCCTTTGATTCCGTCGAAATTTGGGCGGTGCTACAGTCTCTTCAGCGGTGCCAAGTTGACTGTCGGTATATCGAAGTGCTGAAGTGTTTGTACAGTAGGGCTACGATGGTTATCCGAGTACAGAACCAGAGTACGAAACCTATCCAACTGCAGAGAGGTGTAAGACAGGGTGACGTTAAACTAAAAAACCGAAACTCTTCACCGCTGCATTGGAAGACGTTTTCAAGCTACTGGACTGGACAGGATACGGTATTAACATCAATGGCGAGTACATCACTCATCTTCGATTTGCCGACGATATTGTCCTTATGACAGAATCGCTGGAGGACTTTAGCATTATGCTCAAAGACCTCAATTGTGCCTCTGAACAGATAGGTCTTAAGATGAACATGGTCAAAACAAAGATCATGTTTAATGTCCATGTCACACATATGCCGGTAGTTGTTGGGAGCACTAAGCTCGAAGTTGTTGACGAGTATGTTTACCTGGGACAAATAGTCCGACTAGGTAAGTCCAACTTCGACCGAGAGGTCAATCGACGGATTCAAATCGGCTGGGTAGTGTTCGGGAAATTACGTTACATCTTCTCATCAGGTATACCTCAAAACCTGAAAACTAAATTGTACAACCAGCGCGTGTTGCCAGTGATGACATAATATGGAACTGAGATGTGGTCCTTCACTGCCGGCCGTATGAGGACACTCAAAGTCGCTCAACGAGCTATGGAGAGGGCTATGCTCAGGGTTTCTCTGCGTGATAAGCTTAGAAATGAGGATATCCGCAGTAGAACCAGAGTGACCGACATAGCCCAACGGATTAGTCAGCTGAAGTGGCAATGGGCCGGCCATATAGCTCAAAGAACTGACAACCATTGGGGAAAAAAGGTTCTCGAGTGGCAGCCTCGTACCGGTAGGCGTAGTGTAGGGCGACCCCCCACTAGATGGAGTGACGACCTGGTAAAACATGCAGGAAGTCGATGGATGCAGGTGGCTCAGGACCATGGTTTGTGGCGTACTTTGGGGGAGGCCTATGTTCAGCAGTGGACTTGTGAAGGGCTGTAATGATGATGATGATGAAATTAATCTAATTAATTTTAGTATTTTCATTCTTGCACATCTTGCTTAATCATTCTTGAGTGAAGTTTGATGGCTGAGATGATTTTAAGGGTATGTTCCAAAACATTTCCAGTATACTGCCGAATACAAATGACGTCATTAATTGACGCCATTTTGCACTGGCGTGCCGCCGCCATATTGTGTGGGATATCCGACCATATTAAACCAATTTTTAATTGGGTGCGTTTGGCAGAAAAAAGCGCTAGCAAGCGCTTATAAGCGCTAAAATAGTTTTCGGCCAGGACACAATTGCTACTTCAGTAGAGCTGACACAATCCGCCATTTTGCTTATTTAATTTGTTTGTTTTGAAGTAGAGTTTATAAGTTGTTTTGTGCAATATTAGTTTTAAGTAATATAATGACATGAATAAACATATACATGCTATTAAAAACTCATGATTGGTAAGTTTTTAATATGAATACTTTACAAACATATATTTAAATTAGGTTAGATTCCCCGGTTAAAACTAACATCGTGTCCTGGAGGAAAATAGCTACTTACGATTTGACAGCGCTTACCGCTTACGATCGCCATTTTGCTTACAAGCGCTTGCTAGCGCTTTTTTCTGCCGAACGCACCCATTGTGTGTACGCTGAATGAAGCACGCCAGAATTTGTTTTTATTTATTCAAATACAAAAAATTATAGAATAATTTCTGATATTTCCATTAGGAGGATATAATGATGTTTGGAGCACAAAATAACAATATAATCGCCAACACTTTTCCAATATGACGCAATTGTATGATTTCATATACTGTCAAATGTTTTGAAACGAATCACCAGTATAGCGTCGATTTATGACGTCATTTGTATTGGACAGTACACTGGGTTATATTTTGGAACATACCCAAAATAGTGTTGTTGATGTGGAAAAAATAAAAAGGAAATAAAAGGTTCTTAATTTAACACATAATTCTATGATGCATCTGTTAGTGATTGTGTTACTTCTGAATGATTTGACCAATTTAGGTTAGAATTGCACAATTTTTTTTCTCAAGGCAATGGGTCAGCAAAGCTAGAATCAGATGGAAGGTGCTTGCTGTAGTTGTGTTATTAACAAATTTTATATTTATGGATGAAAATTACTTATGTTCACAATATATGTTTGGTTATTACTAAAAAAATTACAAAACCTGTTTCGGATGCTGTGGTGGAGTTTATTAAACTCTATATGTAATACTGTAGAAAGTCCAAATGCTGCAATTAATCTTTTCGCACTATGAACTGGAATGGGCAAAATGTCTGTTGAGCCAGCTAGTTATTTCAATAAGGGTTGATGATAATGTTTTGCTAGTTTGGTTTCACCCATGGCAACTACTTCCATATTTTATCATAAATGGAATGACCACAACTTTGACAACTGCATATAACTAGTAGATATTTAGTAGTAGGCTATGAGTAAAAAAAATGTGTATCTCATGTAAACATACTGAAAAACGTTAGCACATTTATTCATTCCTTCTTTGCATCATATCAAAGTCCACTGCTGATAATAGGCCTCCCCCTAGATTGCTTCATAGGGGCGATATTTGCCTTAGGCGCTACACTTGGCCGTCGGTTTGCAACTGCAGTTTTTTATGATTTTTGATTTGTTACCAGGAAGATGCATTTCCTGTTTCATTTCTTTCTGTCGCCTCTTGAGACACCCACAGGATGATACCACATTTTTTATCAACATCATGCATTGTTATCTGAATTTGAGCTATATTTAAAGTTTTAAGTAACTAGCTCATCGTCAAGTTTAAAATCAATTATTAAATTCCGCCCGGAACAACAAAGAGCCAGACATAGAAGAAAGCGACTTAATAAAAATGTGGTAATTTGATATTAGATATAGTCCAGATCATGTTTGTTCAGTAATGTCAATATAACACTGTCACACTTTCATCAATAAGTGGGAATGTGTTTTAGTGTATTTGAATATAGGCAGTCTTAATTTTTATTTCTGCATTTTAAATGCAACTTTTTTCTACCCTTCTTTATGTTCCTATTGAATTATTAATAGTCTCTTGTTTTTTGCTATTTTTTTAACGTTTTTACTTATATTTGATATTATTGTTAACATTTATATTTTAATGCTTACAGTTATCAGAAAATTAGAGGACAAAACCAAAGAGGAGCTGTTCCATCTAATTACATTTGCTACAAGTGCCAGAAAAGGGGCCATTGGATTAAGGACTGTCCAGCTGCTTCATCCGTATGGATATAAAATTTAATTCATTGTAATGATAGTGTATGCTGATATTTGTGGAAGTCATGGTAAAAATGTAGACATCGTAACAATGACATTGCAGACTTACTCACACAGGCCTTATGATAATGCATAGTGATGTGTCAGATCTATCATTAATTAAAATTAATAGTCAACATATTAAAAAGGAACAATCATATGTTTGAGAATTAGTCCTAATTATTTATATTTAAACCATACCCCTTATAGTGATATATGAGAGATGAGAATGGCTGTGTTTTGAATGACGAAATTTCAAGTTTAAAAAGATGGAAGTAATACAGGTTGGTTCAAAAAAATCAAAATCAAAATGCTTTATTTCTGTAACATACCAGGTTTATCAACAAATTGATAACATTCCTTTTAAGTATATAAATACATGTTATGGAAGTTATCGCTCTTCCATATTATATGACTACAAGTTAAGTATTAGTTACAAAGTTACTAATATAATTTTTATTTAGTTAGTGTATGTGCGTGTTTGTGCGTGCGTGCGTGGGAGCGTGAGTGTGTGCTTGCGTGCGTGCGTGCTTGCGTGCGGTGCCTGCCTGCGTGCGTGCGTGCGTGCGTGCCTGCGTGCGTGCGTGCGTGCGTGCTGCTGCGTGCGTGCGTGCGTGCGTGCGTGCGTGCGTGCGTGCGTGCGTGCGTGCGTGTGCGTGTGTGCGTGCGTGCGTGCGTGTGTGTGTGTGTGTGTGTGTGTGTGTGTGTGCGTTGTGTGTGTGCGCGCGTTTATGTTTGTGAATGTGTATTATGTTTAACGTGCGTAATATGTATGTATGTAAATGAAATATTTTACAGCTGTTTGTTCTACAGCAAATCAGAAATTACTTCAAGCCAAATTTATAAGTTATTTGAATTTAAATAGGTATTTACAATTTGAGTGTTCACTGTGAAGTAATATTGTCTAGTAACCTTTTTGTATCAGCATAGCTGAGTGATTTTAACCATTTTGTGAGAGTTTTTTTGCAGTCATAATAGTTTACGTGGTATATTTTTATTGTTTTATTATAAAGCTTAACCGACAAATTTAGATGTTGTTTAGCTGCAAAAGCTGTTTTTACTGTAGTGGTGGCAGGTACAGGATTATACGGTAAAGATTTATATAGCTTAAGTATGCAACTGAAAATGTATAGTTGCCTTACTGTCAACAAATCACTATAAGTGTATAATGTATTAGTTGGGAACTGATAGTGTAGGAAATGCATAACTTTGAGCAGAGATCTTTGGGTTCTTTCCACTTCCAGGAACTTTATTTTAGTGGCTCCAAATACAGGAATACAATATGACAATACTGATTGTACCAAAGCAATATAGACACTTGTTAACAATGGCTTGTCAGTGACATGTCTAAGTTTTTTAAATATCTAATTCTCACCACATTTACTTACTAACTTATGGTGCCTAGACTTTATCTTTGACAGGACATTGAAAGTCCACTTGGAATATGCCAGCAAGCCATAAAACCAAGTATCTTGGGAGTTAATTTGTCAAACCAAGACCGTATAAACTGGTAAAAAGCCGACGAACCGAACTAGATCGGACATATATGCCATATATCTGACGAGTTGCGGATATTCCGAATGTATGTCTGGTTGTGGTGTTGGTATCAAAACCAAAGAACCACTCCTAATTGACGCGGTCATTGGCAAATTTTAAGTTAAATTAACGCAATCGTCGTAACTTCTCCGCCACTGTAATAGACTATAGGAAGTTATTTGAATAGGTGCCTCTTACATGGCTTGTTAGGGTCATCAAGTTGTACAAGTTATTTTCCATGGTGTTTTTATTGAGTCCAATCCTCAAAATCAAAAGGTTTTGCCTCTCTGAATCCTCAATATGTTACTGAAAGACTTTGGAAGGGGATTTCAGCTTCCGAAAAACGGGACAAAAGTGTCCCACCTTTTCTATACGGAGGATCTCAAGTTTTTAATCTTCAGTCGCTCCTATCTAGGGAATTGCTAAACATCACTTGTGATTTTAGCAGTTCTATCAAAATGTAGCTGAGGACAGATAACTGTACGGCCTTTCATGTTAAAAGGGGTAGGGTCTTTATGTTGATGGCCATAGATTTATTTATGCATATCACTATAAAGACCATTTCCTAGGCTGAAACATATAGAAATCTAGGTATGTCACAAAATATAGGTATTGATGAAGCGGACATGAAACAACCAGTTTGTAATTTGTTATTTGCATGCTTGACAAACATTCTTAACAGCCTCTTGTAGGGTTGTAAGGTAGGAGGATATAACGGTTGGGTCATGCCATGTGTGGTGTCATATTATGTCGTTCTCATGTATACCTTTGGTATTCAGGTGAACTTAACTGAACTGAATGCCCTGGATTGAAAAGTCTGCACTGGTATGACGTCTCACAGGATGCATCATCTGAGATCGTCGTAATGAAGCTGTGGTTGCCACTGAAACATGATCGACATGGCTTTTTAAGCGCTTTCACCGCCGCGAGGTGTGCAGCCTCTGTAATTATTTTCTGAGATCTATCTATTGAACTATATACGCGGACGTCATTTCGTGTGATAAAGGGCTTTGCCCTCCATCCTTATGTCTCGTCGATGCAACGCATGTTTGTTCAAGCACATGTAGATTGTTTTGTTTTTTTTTATACTTTTTTTGCAAATCTATGCGTAAATTTGCTTGCCTTCTAAGCTGTATCTCTTGTGCGCAGAGTTACGGCCAACTCCAACGGCATTCTTAAAGTGACAGATTGAATTATTCCTATCTACCGCACTGTTGTACAATGTATGCATTATTACAATTGAAAAAATAATAAGTAAAAATAAATAATTTAAATGCATGTATTCAATTATATGATAACAATAGTGTGACATGAGTGTACCATGCTTAAATTCAGAAGGCATTGTTCATTGATATTGGCCGCATGTTTAGTCGATTTCTTTCCCTATGCCTATAATCTTCAGCTGTTTGGTCGAGCCGAGAGATTCTGTCTGGTTGGGCTTTATCTATTTATTTTACTAAATTTTATTGAATTTACTCTATTAAGAATATATTTTATTATATCTTATTCATGTTAATGTATTAAAAGTGTTTTATGTATCCCAACACTAAAAATACACCATAATAATAATGGTACATATAATACATTTATGGCTTAAATATATTACATGTGCATTTATTACTGTAATGGATTAAATAAACTTTTAGTGTTTTTACTATATCATATTACTGTCCATTAATGTTTTAATGAACAAACTAAAAACTAAAAGGTTTAAAATAATTTTCACATAATAGGTTATAAATGAAATTATTTTATATTGTTTGTAGTTATTTGAAGTCTGCTTTTATTTTTTAATATTTCAAGTATAATTTAAGACCCATTTAGTGGACTAAGGAATATTAAAAGCTCCAATGAGAGCAGCTTTTTTGAAGTTGGCTAAACATTTAAATCAAATTCACTGCCCATTCATATAGCAAAGCAAACCATTATGTGGCTACAATTACTACTCGATTATTACCCGCAAGCCGTAATTGGAGCAATTGTTGGCTTTCACTATAGATACATTTGTATATTATTCTTATTGTTATAATATGAGTTAGTAAAATCTGTCAATTTGTATTTTAGGGTGAAGCTGTAGAAATAAGGAGAAGTACAGGAATCCCTCGGAGTTTTATGGTGCCGGTTGATGGTCCAAAAGCACCTGGAGCCATGATGACACCTAGTGGAACATTCGCTGTTCCAGCCGTTGATCAGTAAGAAAAATTTTCTTATAATATTCTGAGTGATATTATATTGCGTGTTGTAAGTGGCTTTCTTAAAAAAATAGATTAAGAGCAAGCTAGAGAATGCTTATAGGCATGAAGTCTTTTGTTTATTTGTTTCTATTTTATTGATTGATAGTAAATAAATAAATAATTAAGAATTTAGAAGAGGCTTATGGAAGAGCAATGAATTGTGTAGAGACTTAATGCCATGTTTTGATGAATTCCTTTTTGCTTAGTGAGGCGTATTTGGCATCAGAGAGTGCTGGCGGAGCTGACATGCCTACTAATGCGCCCGCTGCACCAGAACCTACAATACCTGATGAGTTAATCTGCAGTCTGTGCCGTGATCTGCTTACTGATGCTGTTATGATTCCGTGTTGTGGGAACTCGTTTTGCGATGAATGTAAGTTCTAAATTTCATATTAATACTAGTTGTGCTAGCGACTTCTTTCGGAACCTTTAACTTAGTTTGAAGGTTTGTTACTTTGGATTTAATTTCAAATTTTATAACCTCCACTGTTTCCACTTAAATAGTAATATATTGTGCTTATATTCTTATAAGGTGCTATGTCATGATAAAAACCGATCAAATGCACGGATGGTTCCAACGCCATACTAATTACATTAGTTTATAAAGACATAGAACTCCTAACATTGCAAACTTAAATTATAAAGAGGGAATGGTATTTCTTACTCCATATAATCCTGCAGGTTTCGCTCTAAGAGGCGACACAGGAAACAAACCAGTATAGATTAATGTTAAAAACAAACCATGGTAATATATGTTAGGAGAAGATTGTATAGCACTATTGCTTTAGTTTTTAGTAAAGTAAATTATAACACACAATTTATTTGAAAAAAAAAAAAACAAACTATAAAACAATATCAAGAAAATAGGCCCTTGGGGTATTTAACATCTTTATTATTAGTATTTAAGTTAAAAGAAATGTTTTCTTATAAATATATCACACATTTGGGGTGCATTTTGGATGTTGATTTTTGTAACACTCTTTTTTTATAAAATAAGGGTAACAAACGAGCATACAGTCCACATGATGATAAGTGGACACTGTGACCCGGTATCTAAATCTTAAAAAATGAAATACATTCAGTTTGGTTCTCTATACCTACCATACTAAAATAGCAGCATTAAGCTGCTATTTTACACTGGTACTTTGTGAGAGAGTGGTTCTGCCCTGGTCAAACCGGCCCATTCATGCTACAACCATAATATATTGCTACAGCGTGGCTCTGCCACATAGAGCACTCTTGCATTAGAAATATACCTGCTAAATTTCAAACCCATATAAACTGTAGTTTAAAAATTTTAATGTATTGATTATCGACATACTTGTATCTTCCATCCTCCATTTCCACTCCTTGGAGGAATACGGAAGAAATGTTTACGTAACATAAAACATCACTATCAATACTCAATTTTGTAAAAGCTATTGTTCAATAACGGAGAATTTCTATTTATGATACCCACACAACTCCATTCTGGGAGTTAATTTCTGCGAAACTCGTTGTTAGCTATACCCTACCCTACATAGCAGTAACATGCTTATTTAATTTTAAGTATGTAGGTTGGTACAGTTCTGAAGATATTGAGATAAGTGTACTATTATATACTATACCGTATTTTTATTACATTTGTTTGTTGTAATCGCATTCTCGAAAACGGCACTAACGATTTTGATGAAATTAACAATTTCGGGGTTAACGGAGTCGAAAACTCGATTTAGCTAGGTCTCATTTCAAGAAAAATTCTTTTTTCTCGTGTTTTAACACTCAAAGCAAGAAACTTGACTTGCCCATGCAATATGATTGGTAATTTCGGCATAAGATCATTTTCTCAATAGCTAGAGCAGTATGTGTACCACGATGGAGTGCGCGAGTTCGAATCGTGCCGTGGTCAGATCTTCTGGTTTTCTTTTGTCGTTAGACAAAAGAATAAATAAAAGAAGATAGAAAAATACTGGTGGGCAAAAATAAATTATTGTAGACTAATAAAATGTTTTGTTATGGAGTTACGTAGGGTTTTTATAGCGCTGGCTTCACTTTGGTCGAAATATGTACATTTTGTTAAGGTACAAATTTATTAAGTATGACATGATTATATTCATATGGTTTTTAACACAACTTTAATTTTTTGTATCTGATATCTACTAAAATTAAACTACTTAATATTAAAAATAATACTAAAATTAAACTTTTCCATAAGTAATATTCTTTATACATTGTTAACAGGCATAAGAGGGGCATTATTGGAATCTGAAGATCACGAATGTCCAGATTGTCGTGAAAAAGAAATTGCACCAACAACATTGATACCAAACAGGTAACTGATTGTATTTAAAATGTCATGAAGGTGTTTATACTCAATTTTTAAGCTTTTTTACTACCTTAAATAGATTTGCTAGTAAAATAATGTGATTGTTAGCTGAAATTACCTTGCTCTATCTATTTATACATATAGAATGTTTATACACTGAAAGAGTTTGGGCTTGTACGAATTTTTCAACTTTTTTTAAAAGTTTATAAACTCATTGAAAAATCAAGCGTAGCATCTTTTGTGGCTTGTTAACTTCCTGCTGTGAAAATCAATGATTTAAAAAATCGAGTTCTCATCTCGAGTCTTAGGAAGCTATTCGGGATATTTTTGCGATGATTTCCATATGTCTGTATGTATGTGTGTGTTTGTAAGCATTTAAACATCTCATGACTTTGTAACAAAGTGTCCGATCGAACAGTGGTTTGCGGTATCTGAAAGGGCCTCGCTAAACTTTGATTTTCTGTAAATTTAGATCAAATCGGCGCGATAGATTCTGAGAAAACCTCAAAAATTCGAGTTTTTTTAACTATCAGTGTTTTTTTTTTTTTTGGAATTACTTCGACGCCTTTGTGTTAATAAATCCCATAATCGAATCAACTCTTCTACTCTAAAAACGACGTCGATTGCTGTGAACCGCATCAAAATCGGTTGATTCGTTCGAGAGATATAGAAAAAGTAAATTTTTAAAAATTGATATTTTTTTTTGAAATTATTTCGACACTCTTGTTTTGATCAATTCTATAATCTAATCTGCTCTTCTACTCTAAAAACGCTGTTATTATTATTGCTGTTAACCACATCCAATTCAGTTGATTCGTTCAAGAGATATCGAGAGAGATATAGAAAAAGCGATTTTTTTTCTAAAATAACTTGAAAATTTTTCGTCAATCAATGTTTTTGTCATAAATGTTTTTGTTAAGATGCCCATCGGTAAGAAACGCCCAAATAGGCAGTTACAATTTTTAAAATATTGAAGAACTTGACTACTTTGAATGACACCACAAAAAAATCTCAATTAGTTAATAATAATTATTATGAAAAGCGCAAATAGGCAGTTACCATTTAAAAATATTAAAGATAAAAATAAATTTAAAATTAAATTCATTGAATGACACCACAAAAAATCTCAAATAGTTAATAGATGACTTCACTTACACGCGTGATACATATAAAAAAATTTTTATTTTTGAAAAAATATTCGAATTTGAACTTTCCAGGTTATTTCGTTATATTTCAAAAAATATTTTTGATGAAAACGTGAGATGAAATTAAAATAATACATTACATTACATTCACCATTAACTTTTTTTACTATTTCAAAACAAAAAGCAATAATCTAACAATAATCTTTTTAAAGCAGAAATCGTTCCCCGCTGCCCATACTTTTTAGTATGAAGCATTTAGCCTTTTTTTTGCGCCCAGAAGCAGAGAAGGGCTACCCTCTGCAAAGTAGGGAAGGGAGGTGGTAAATGCTCAAAACATACCACGCAGTCGGCTGCGTGGTTATGTAGGACTCACTGAGAAACCTCAGTGACTTACCCACTAAATATCACCTGTGAGATTGGCTATAACCTGTTAAGATCATTCAGCCGTAATGGAAGCGACCCCCCTTGGGAGAAAGAGGGGCGCAGGCGGCGGGTAGCCGCTGAGAAGTGTGCCTAACTAAGGCAGATTACGAGATGAGATGAGGAGGCTCGGCATGAGCCGCCAGGAGTTTCTCAGCTTGCGGATACTATAGCTAGTGGGAAGTGGGGCTGCATAGGTAGCTGCTTCGCGAATGAGGTGATTCGAATGGGACTTGAGGCTTCGAAAAATTTTTCAGAGTGATTTTAGAAATTGCTGAAGTTGTCGGGAGCTCTAAGTCTCGGTGGAAGTTGGCGTTACGGACGTAATAGTGTGCGTTCGTAGCCCGACGACAGAAGATTTCATTTAAAGTTCTGGTTTTAGTATGAGCAAAAATGGGGGCTGCGTAGGTCATAACTCGCTAATGCTGTTGCTACACTAACGGGAAACGTCAATGCAAATAAACGCAGCAATTATTGCTTTAACATTAACGCGATAAAATGAGTGGCTACACTTGAACGCTCAACGTCATTACATTTCAATGCCATTGAAGGGCGTTAAAGATGGCGTTAATGTTCCTTGAACACTTTTTATATTTGTTAGACTTTCCTTTGTCTTTCTAATTCTTCAATAGATGTTTTAAAAGATAATAATTGGATAATTCTTCGCAAAGCATCATTTTGCGATGTACGATTCTTACAAATTTTGAGTCTCGGGTCCTACAAACATGGCTCTGTTTGCAGAATCTCAAGAAACGTTATAACTTTTTATTATAGCCATACCTGCGACCCTGTTCTACGATCTTAGTGATGCTACGTAGAACCATCGTGTTTTTTTGCAACTCATTTTCAAAAAGGTTCATGAAGACCTAGATAACTATGATGATATCACCTAGCTGATGGTGGACTCCGAAGGTGGGTATAGGATCTCAGTGACGCCACTAGATAGGACGATCATGTTTGAACTCATTTGAAAGGGCTCATAAAGACATAGGTGACTGTTATTATCTCACATTTCTGATGGTGCAATACGAAGGTGGATATAGGATCTCATTGACGCCACTAGATAGGACAATCGTGTTTGATCTTATTTCAAAGGGCTCATAAAGACCTAGGTGACTGTGGTGTGTGTTATGATCTCACCTTTCTGATGGTGCAATTTAAAGGTGTGTATAGGATCTCAGTGTGACAGCACTATTTTTATATTATTATTATAGGGGTATCTGTATAGTTTTCTCATCTGGTTGGTTTCTATAAATATATAATTATAAATTAAAATGAAAAGATAAATATACATAAATATCAATAAAATAAAATAAATACAAAAAAATACACAAATAAATAAAGATCCAACCAGATGGAAGCCCTCGGCAGGGGAGACCAAACGGTCGAGGGTTAGGGAGAAAGGGAAAGAAACCGACGGACGATGCGGGCGGTATCGAGGACCACTGCCTTCTGCATTTGAGCCCGGAGCGGTCCGTCACGGAGTCCCAGTCGCCTCAGATGACCCGAGAGGCTGACTGGGATTAGCCCCTTCACAGAGACGACTACAGGAATAATTTCGGTCGGCCGACCATCCCACATGTCGGTCACCTCGTGAGCCAGGTCCAGATATTTTGTTCGCTTATCTGTTTCGGCTTTCACGAGGTTCTCGTCATACGGAATGGTAATGTCGACCAAAAATATCCTTGACTGTGCCCGGTCCATCAGCACAATATCAGGCTTATTCGCAAGAATAGCCCTGTCTGTGATGATGGCCCGGTCCCAGTAGAGCCTGGCGCGGTCATTTTCGAGCACGGCTTCCGGCAAGTACTTGTAATACGGCATTTTCCGGTCCACGAGACCGTATTTCAGAGCGAGCTCCTGGTGTAGAATTCTGGCTACTAGGTTGTGCCTGTGCAAGTACTTAGAGTTAGAAAGCGCCGAACAACCGGAGATGACATGCCTAAGTGACTCCCCGGAAGGCGACAAGCTCGACAGACGTCGACGGTGCCATCCTTTAGGATGTATCTCCGATAGTTGTTGGTCTTAATAACCTGATCCTGTATTGCACAGACAAAATCCTCGGTTTCCCCGAAGAGGTCACCGAAACGTAGCCAGTTGAGGGAGGCGACTGTATCTACGAAGGGCTCATGTAGAGCCTTGTAGTACCTCCCGTGGAGCTCCTTCTCCTTCCATACGGTCTCCCGGTCGGAAATGCTAAGCATTGCTGGGTCCTGCCATTGCTCGTTGGCTAAGGATAGAGGGGTAAGCCCTTTATCACTAGAAATGACGTCATTATGGAATGGATCATCCGATCTCGCCAAGAAGTATTGACGGAGACTGCACACTTCGCGATTATGCATGGTGAGCGCGCTCAGAAAGCCACGTCCACCATGCTTTCGCGGCAAGTACAGCCTCATTACCGACGATCTCGGATGATGCATCCTATGGGACGTCATGGTAGTGCGGACTTTTCTATCCAGGGCGTTAAGCTCAGTCTGAGTCCACCTAAGTATGCCAAAGGTATACATGAGGACAGGCATGACCCAGCAGTTATATGCGTGTGACTTATTCACACCGGACAAAAGGCTGTTAAGCACTTTGGGTAAGCGTGCATAAAACACGTCGCAAACTGACTGTTTCATACCAGCCTCATCGATACCGATGTTCTGTGACATACCCAGGTATCGGTATGTTTCAGCCTCGGAAAGGGTCCTTAAGTTGACGGGCATTGATAAATCTATGCCCTCAGAGTTAGCAACCCGTCCCCTCTAAACATGGAGGACCACACACTTATCCATCCCCAACTCCATTCCAATAGAATTGCTAAATTCACAAGTGATGTTTAGCAGTTCCATAAGATGGGAGCGACTGGAAGCGCATAACTTGAGGTCATCCATATAGAAATGGTGGGTCACTTTTGTCCCTCCTTTCCGTAGCTGAAATTCCCTCCTGGAGCCCTCCAGTAAGGTACTAAGGGAGTTCAGAGAGAGGCAGAACCAGATTGGACTCAGACAATCACCCTGGAAGATACCCCTTCTTATCCTTATGTGGTTCTCCGCAGCCATCATCCGCTCGCCCAGATGACAAAGGATCGTACTCCACTGCCCCATACACTGGCTCGAGGAAGTCTCTAACTGTACAGTCAATCTTGTACAGCTCGAGGACCCTCTTTAGCCATGTATGGGGCACCGAGTCGAACGCCTTTCTGTAGTCTATCCAGGCGGCAGAGAAGTTCCGACGGTTGCGTTTCACCACTTTGCCTATGACCGCGTCAATGAGGAGTGGTTCCTTGGTTCCACGACCAACGCCCCGACATCCATTTTGAGCGCGTGACATCACCTGGTTTAGCTCCAGGTGACGAGTGATTCTCGCGCTCAAAATGGATGTCAGTGTCTTATATATGGTGGGTAGACACGTGATGGGGCGGTATTTGCTCGGGTCTGTGGTATCCTGATCTTTAGGAACCAAGTGAGTTATCCCAGTAGTGAAGAGGCTCGGGAGCGACTTCTGGTCGAGAGCGACTTCTGGTCGAGGCCTCTTGAAACTGTCGGGCGAGCACAGCGTGACACACTAGAACCCCTTCAGCCAGTAATTATGCAGCCCGTCGAGCCCCGGACTTTTCCAGTTCGGGGCCCTACGGACCGCTTCAGCCACGTCTTCCGGCGTTATGGTGATGGGGTCCATAGGCGTAACACTCGCACGCTGGCTCGCTACAACTTCCATCCAAGGGCCCTTGCTGTGGTTTACGGGCTCTGACCACAGGCCACGCCAGAATGCGATAATGTTAGCCTGATCCGGTCCTTGGCCCGCTCCACATACCTTTTGTTGCTCCAATGATTTATAGAGCCTCTTCTGATCACTCTGGAAGAGACGATTCTGGTTGAACCGTCTTGACCTCTCGGTAAATCGTCGAATCCGCTTCTCCCAAGCAGCGATCTTTTGCTTCAGGTCGTCTATGCGCTCCGTTAGTTTCTGCGTGATATCTGGCTGGGACAAACTGATATTTGTTCCAGCAAACCCCATCCTAACGGTGCGCACAATCCTCGGTCTATTATTACCCGACCTGAAGCTTGTCAGTCTGCCGATAAGGGGCCCTTGCCTTTGCGATACGGTCCTCGATTCTTTTTCTCCAGGCTGGGATGGCGCTACTTTGTGTAGTAGCGCGTCCAGCCATGGGAAGTTTGGCGCCAATAATACGGCAAACTGCTAGTGCGGCGCCAAAGAGAATTGAGTCCGTCTCGCAAAGGTCCCTGCTGGCTTCCAGATAGGTCACCAGCATTGGGTTAAGAGCCCTCACGACAGCCCGATTTCGCTTGCGTAGGGGTATGCGGGAAAGTCGCGGTCGATTTTCGACCGATGCTGCGCGTTTCCAAAATCGCCTCTTCCAATATACTCCTCATTTGCTCTAGTTCGTGGGAGACTATTTCATCGTCGTTCGAATCAACCACAACTGGAAGATTCATGGCGGCTTCCACGTGTGGATGCTGGTCTGTCAGATGTGGAGCTGCATCTCCAGCCATAGCCGATTCATTTGACGATGGAATAGCCTCACGTCGTAGTCGTTCGAGTTCGGAATCATCAAATATTTTCGAGCGCATGATGTACCGAACTCGGTCTGCCAGGTTTTGTTCCGTGACGGGGATAGAAGACTCCAGCTCAGCAAAAAAGCAATGCTACCGAGCCCTATACGCTATTCCCACAGTTTCTTCCCTTTTCGCCCTATAGTACGCCCGCAATGCGTTTTCGTTCAGATTTTGTCCAACGCATGCGACGTGCTCCACCAGCGGCGGGTGCCGCTATTATTATTATGTGACACTTCTAAAAAATGTAAGGGGGTGAAAACATAAGAAAAATAAAGAAAACTAAAATAAATAGTGTACCTATATATGTGTTAGGTAACTTAATACAATATGAAAAATTTATTATTTTATAAAACTCAACATATTTGATTATCAAACAAATCAAATAATTATTTTATTAATTCTAGACTTTTTTCTTTGTTTTAAAACATTAGGATTTTCCCCCACACTAGGATTTTCTGTGAGGCAGTTTACAAACATAATTTGCACAAGGACAAACATCCAGACCCGGAACAATTGTTTGTAGACCATACAAATACTTGTTCCGTGCGGGATTCGAACCCGCGGCCCTCAGCGCGGCAACTCATCGCTAAGCCACTGCACCGAGCTTGTTTATTTTATGATTTTTGTACAATCTTATGCTGGGACCATACTAATGAGAAATGCCGTTAATTATCGTGTTTATGGACGTTGAATGTAGGTGTGGCCACGACTTAACGCGTTAATTTGATAATGACATTGACAATGCCGTTTGGCGATAACTCAAGTAGCGGTACATCAAAGAGATTAACGCACGAAATAACGCCACTCAATGTAGCGCAGTCGAGGGAATCACGGTCGACGGAGCCACTCTTCGCGTAGCTCCTACTTATGAGTGGTTTATAAAAAAATAACTACGAAGAAGATGGCGGGGTCTATTCGCTTGCTTCGCTCGCTCACTCGACCCCGCCATCTCTTTCTAACCTAACCTGTCCGCGTCGCGATTCCCTAAGTCCCGAGCTCGTGTCGCTCGATCTTACAGTCAATAAAACACCAAAATAATAGATGATCCCCTAAATGTCCCTATAACCAGATTTGATATGCAATAGGAGAATCGTTTTTTATTTAGTTATGTGTACAGCCTTTTATTATGTCTAGTTACCAATAAAGTAAACACTACGCCACTAAAATTATGTCTTGTACTTAATAAACAATGTTTTCAAAAGCAAGGATAGGCCCATCTAAATATTTTACTCATAACTTTTTCATAGAAGAAAAAGTAACGCATCTGTCATAATACAAACGTAACATAACACGACGTAACCAGGGTCGGATTTCGTAGTACAATTATCTTAACTGTATCATTATTTCATAGTTTGTAGTATATATAGTATCTTAATAATATTAGGCGCAAATACCATCATTTTACCTAAAGATCGACTTGTATTATTATTGGGTCCTTTTACTTTTTAATATTAACCCTACGATATCGAGAATTTCTGTATTGTACATGAGTACCGCGTTTTTTAATAAAATTAGAATAAACTCCCTTTCTGGTCAATCGGTGCTCGATCGATGCATTTATGTTGCATCCTTGATACAACTATAATGAGGGGGTACCAAGATAAAAACTCTATGCTCCAGAAGCAATCGGTTTGAAAACAGAATTTCAAAATATTTTATGAATCAGATTTTCAGATTCAATTAAGCAGATATGGTTTATTTTATACTCTTTTCGGTTTATCCTTATTGAATATAAAATATATTAGGTACCAATATTCAAAATTAAACTTATTCTAAGTTTTTTAGATAAAAATAAAACAGAAATAAAAATAAAACTGTCAAAAACGAAACGTATTGATAAACTAGACGCGTGACGCCAAAATCCCGCCATATGGGAAAAAAGAAACATGAAACGTCAAACGTGGTATAATTTTTTTAAAATAGTATATTTTTATTTTTCATGTCCAATGTTTTTGAGGGTCTGAATCCAACCCTGGCCTAATATTGGTAACGTAAGTAAACTAACTGTAAAATAAAAATTTAAAAATGCGTTCATATTATAATTTAATTGTAATAAAATTAATACAGGGTTATTAACCAATGATGCGATAATCCCATGTTCATTTAAATCTTCGTATCGTAATTTTTGCATTCTTTTACCACGCAGCTTGACATATTTATGACAGACAAAATATCTGTCCTGCGCGCGCACTTCTGTCGACCGATTCGCGTTGGCCCTAAATTGTAATTTTACGTTTTGGTTGTTCGGTTGGCCCGGTCCTTACGCTAGTAATATATAATAATTGTTAATAAATGTTAATAATTGTCATAGTTACATACATACATATTTACGTCGTTCACAAATGACAACGATAATATAGGTAAAGGAATAAATTTAAAATATTTTTTTTCAGATTTTTAAGGAATTCTGTATCAGCATTTCGCAATCAAACAGGCTACAGCAGACGAGCTCCACATCGACCATCTGCTGCACCTGTTCAAGCTCCACCTCCTGTTATTGGTTTGTTTTATTAAATACTTTTTTAATTTAATAAATTATTAATCCTCCTTTCGGTTTGGCTATTTTAGCATGGGCAATTTGTTTGATGGTTATTCTATTGGTTAGATAGATGCCACAAAATTTCTCTGGTATTTCCTTTTGTGTTGTTCAATTTTGTGGCAACAAAATTTTGTGGTACACGTAAACTTTGTACTTAATAGTAAAAAATAGTACAAGAAAATTTAAGACTTTTAAAAGTAAAAACCGACTTCAAAAAACTAACCTTCTAACAGCGACAGCTGAAGGTGAGTAAGTGTAAAAAAATAAACCTCATATTGTGCTGATGGACTGGGTACAGGCAAGAATAATTTGGATCGACATTACCATTTCGTATGACGAGAACCTCGTAAAAACGAAATCGAAAAATTGACTAAAGTTCTGAACCTGGATTACGAGGTGACTGATATGTGAGTTAATCTGCCGACATAAATTATTTCTGCAGTCATTTCAGCCTCTTGTGTCATCTAAGGCGACTGCCGCGATACCGCCCGCATCGTCTGCCGGTTTCTTTCTCTTTCCTCCAACTCCCTCTACCGTTTGTTCTCCCCAGCCGAGGGCTTACCATCTGATTGGATTTTTAATTGTTTATTTTACTTGATGGGTATTAGTATTATATTCAACATATATTTTATCTTATTTACAATTTTTCATGTATTTATATGTCTGACGAAAATACTACAATAATATCCCATTAATGATAATAATTTATTGATACAGACAACATTTGATTACTGATATTTGTTATCAAACTAATAAAGTTAATATTAATAAATTTGAACACATTCTGAATATCTCACTGTAAGCAAATAATTTTATTGAAAACATTCTGCGACTCAAAAACAGAACTTAAGTCGCACGTCGTAACGCGTCTTAAGCTTTAACGTCGAATCTAAATTTAAATCTACTGTAATATTTTTTTCTTTAAATCCGATCTAAGGATGTGTAAAAGGTCACACTCAAATGTAAAAACGATATTACTTTGACTTAATATTTTTTATACTTTCATAACTATTAACATTTTTATACATACACGCACGCACGCACGCACGCACGCACGCACGCACGCACGCACGAACTCACGCACGCACGCACGCACGCACGTGCGCACACGCACGCGCACGCGCACGCTCACGCAGACAGCACGCACGCACGGTCGCACGCACACGCACGCACACGCACGCACACGCACACGCACGCACACAAAAACACGCGTGTGCGCGCGCACGCACTCATACAATATCAAATTATTTCAAATAAGAATTCCTTCGATAAATAGTACTAAAATGTAAATTGAAAGCATGTTGTGATTACCTTTAAGTGATTGTACATTTAGAAATAACACAACCTTAAATTTTAATTAACGATGTAATAATTAGGGATGGGCTGAATATGGATTTCACCGAATACGAATATTCGGCCGAAATTTCGGTAAAATTTTTACCGAACCGAATATTCGGCCGAACATTATTCGGCAGGATTACCTCAGTACCTAACCAATTTATGTTGAAACTTGTTACCGTAAAGGGCGCGAAATTAGCACCGGACCCTGCCCCTTGCTCCCTCGCCATACCCGACATGTTATTGCATCATCTAGTACTGAGCGAATTGCCGACACATGCTTGTTTTGATTATTTTTGTGAATAAAAAGTATTTCGTTGTGTTATTCTTAGTGAAATTTGAAAATTATATGAAAAAATGAGTTAAAAAAAGGATCTACTATTTGGACTTATTTTAGAGAAACTGACGACCAAAGTAAAATTAAATGTACTAAATATATATGTAATGTTTCTTTGCTTGATGCCAAACAAAATTTTATCATGCTTTCTATTTGCAATAATTGTAAGTAAGTCTACAGTGCTTCAAAAACATAACGATTTAACCCATAAATAAATATACTTTCAACAGTAAAATTATGAAAGACATGGCATCACTCAATTCATACATTTCAATATAGTAGACACTGAGTACTACTTTAACGAATGTTCGGTGATTTAGCCGAATATTCAGCCGAGTACAAATATTCGGTAAAACTACCGAATATGCCGAATACCGAATATAAAACGAATATTCGGCCCATCTCTAGTAATAATGCATCAATCGTTGGTAATCCTAATAAAGAGAAAAAATTTGCGGATAGATGTAGAAGTTTATGTGCCACAGCATTCAGTTAATCTAAAAAAAAAACTAAACAACTCAAATATAGACCTTGTCTCAAACTCTATATATGACGTTATTATAATAAAATAATTGTATGTTGTATGATGTGTATTTCAATTTTACGATTGGGAAAAATATTTGTTTGTGGCGAACAAAAGTATTATATACATATGAAGACTATATAATTTTCTATAATCATAAAGAATATACTCTTATTATGCAGATGTGCCGCCAGTAGCTCCTCCACTGCAATCAGTGAACGGGCCCACGCAGCCGCCGGCTCCTAATGCTGGTAAGTAGTTATACTGAGTAGGCAGCTATACACAATTCACCCATTATTGTCATAAATATATTAGTAGTGGACTCGGTGCATGTTGGATTTTTTTTAAACTGTCACGTCTCACTTTGTATTTTTATTTATAGCTCTTATGAATTATAGTTTTATAGACCAATTTTTTTTTATTGCCAAATAAGTTATTTGGCAATATTGTTATTAACTTAGTTCCACAGTTCCAATTATTGAAATTCCTCTGTTGTTTTTTTTTACTTTGACCTTTATAAAATGTCTGAAGGAAAATTTATAGTATAAACTGACCAGGAATTTATGAGATTTATCATAAGGTGTTTTGTTACTACCATACTCGTATGTGTAATATATATTTAGGGCTATCCTTTGCTGTAACTATTCTGATTCTGTACTAAGAATGATAATATTAATGCATTTTAATAAAAATAAATTGATTACTTGTTATGTATGAGTTTACTTTGTAGTATTACAAAAATATAAGTACGTAGGTCACTCAATAAGTTTTGTACGCTAAAATAGAATTCTATAAGCCAATTGCTCAATATTAAAATAAAAACAAAGTTCTATTAATTTTCCTGCAATGCTTCCCCGGCTTTTCATTTAAAACGATGGATCTTAACCGTGAACATTTGCGCGCTACGATCTATTATGATTTTAAATTTGGTGTAACCGAACAATTAAGTTTACAACAGTTACAATCAGAATTAGGGGACTCGGGTCCATCACGCGCAACAATTTTAGGTGGTTTGCTAAATTCAAAAGGGGTTAAATTAACCTTAAAGATGACCAAAGAACCGGTACCCCGCAAACAGCAGTAACGGCAGAAAATTTATGGACTACTGAAATGTTGGTGCGAGAAGACCCACAAATCACATATACGGACATCGAAAAGATCGTAAAAATTTTAAATAGAAATAGTCGAAAAGCAAAGTTAAAGACCCGCCCTTATTCTTAATAATAAAATACCAACTAATGTATGTTGCTTAGTGATTAGGAAATTTTAGAAGAGTTATAGAGAGGATTATCTTTCGATAATCTACGATTAACTTTCTTTTTGTAAGATTCGTAATGAGGATATTCGATAGTACTTCGAAAGAATTACTAAATTGAAATGATAATCGGCGATTCAAATTGTGAGAATCGGCAAACATTGAGGCAGCAAGGTTGTCCATTGTAATCGGCCCCACAACTGGAAAATGGCATACACAGTATGCGACATCAGATTAGAGTGATGATTCAATTTTAATTAAAACTTTTTAAATACAAATTTTTTAATTTGCATAACACGTAGATATTACAGTATGAGTTATACAAACAAGTTGAATTTTAACAATGTTTATAGTTTATTGAAAACAGGCAAATCAGTCACACCCATAAATTAGTAGTACCCGGTTGACCGTTTATTCGTGTGTTTTGGAAATTATATTTAGATACAAATTACATACTAATGAAATATGAATAATATTTTTTGATCGTAGTGACATAATAGAAAAAACTGGTTATTTGAATAAAAAATCATGAGTGCAATTAGTTTAATTTAAATTTTGGTGTTTTAAAAAATACTAAAAAAAAAAGGGCACGAAAAAATAGATTTTCTCAAAAAAGAAAGGAACTTGAAAAAAAATTAAAAAAAGTCGGTCGGTCGGTCTGCGCTCGAACCATGGTATTACGATTTTGTGACCGCCCAATATACCAATCAAACTATTTGTAATCATTAATAAACTGTCAAAATTTACCTTCTTATACGATATTGTAGCAGTTTTTATTGCCTAAAAACACGGACAAAAAGACATTTTCTAAAAATAAATCCTAGCTAGATCGATTTATTGCCCCCGAAACTCCCTGCACACAAAATTTTATGAAAATCGTTGGAGCCGTTTCCGAGATTCCAATTATATATATATATATATTCAAGAATTGCTCGTTTAAAGGTATAGGATTAAGACAATAAGATGATTAATAATGTCCATCATTGATCTTATATAAGTCTGTAAATTTGATTTTTATATTATATATGTTTCTCGGAAAATTGATACTTAATATAATTGTAAGTAAATTTGATTTTAATATTACAGGTTTTCTCGGGAAATTGATATTTATATAATTGCAACTGTTATTTTAATAAAATAGGATTAGTTTGTCAGTCAGATCGTTCCACATCAGCTTAAAAATGATCAAGTTTTAAGCTAGTAACGTTTGGCGTAGATGCGGTCGGGAGCGATGGGGGTGGCGGGGGTAATGAGGGCAGAGGGGGAGGCGGCTCCGAGTCCGAGGGTTCAGGAGATGACAACATCGTGGTGACTGTGCCGCCCGCGCACCATGCGCTTGCGCTCCCGCACCCGCACGCGCTCCGACACGCCAACATGCACCGACCGCCGCGAATAGGTACACGCACATACACACACGCATAATATGCGTATAAAAGACATGAAAACAACTGTACTGTCCATTTAATTACGTTTTTGCTAAGTTTTTAGAAATGAGAGGAAGGAGGAGCGGTCAGCTAATACGCGTCGCGGGAGATGGTGTGTGAGAGTTTGTTATAGCACAATTTTAGGACATTACAGTTGAGAAACGAATGTACTAGTGCAGAGCAACGGTGGGGGTACTGCAGGGCGGGGGGCGGGCCTACCTTGTGTTATCGCACTTCACTGAGTGATAGACAATACCTACATGTGCTTAACGCGAGCTTGTTTTTGAAATTTGAAAATTTTACTAATTTAAAGTAACTTTTCGAAAAATATAATATTTTTAATAGTGAATTCAAACGAAGGCTATGCTTATGTTTCCCCTCTTTTTTTATTAAATTGTTTATCTGAGTGCGAATACACTACATAATTAAATTCGACAATCGAAAACTACAATCATCTATAAAAAGAAAGTGTCATAAAAATATTTGGCTGTACAAGTGTTGCACTTTTTTGCGATTATGGTATCGCAGTGCGCAAAAATTAAAAATTGTTTTTTTTTTTTTAAATTGAGACAAACACCACAATTACAATGACTTCTGTTATGGTTGTATTTGATGTTGCCTTTGACAGTGTTACTATAACGTAGCGACGCGTCACCATGCCATCAGTCGGTCTGACCCGCCGCAATAGATGTTTCACATCAAAAGGATCTTGTTCAATACAGGTTTTTAACTTTATAAGTAATTACAAAATGTTAGTAAATGATAATGAGTATTAAAATTACCTAAATTGTTTTATTTCCATTTTCGTGATAACCTCTAGCATACACGCTGGCCGCGTCAATACCTACGCGGGCGGCGGCGTCGCCGGACATCAAAGGCGTTTCATAGCTGTAGGATGTTTAAACTGTGGTTATAGTAACAATTGATTTGATTATTTGTTCTAAATGAGTTCTACATGATGCAACTGCACACGCAAACGCGCATGAGCACACATGATAGTGTGTACATATTACGGGATGTCGTTTATCATTAGTGATCGGATAATCGTATGCATATTTACCTAAGTGTAGGCGTTGGCTATTATGGAATGCGCTTCAATTTTGTATCGAAAAAATCCCGGGATTTCGGAATCGACAAATTTACTGTTTTTATCGTAGAATGCCGAATCGGGTGTATGTAGTAAAAAAATACATATTATTAGTAGGTGTATTTACTCATTTTAACTTTTATGTATAAAAAACGCTAGAAATAATAACTTCCTTTTTATTTCTAGCGTTTTTTTTAATTAACACCCACTACCTACTATTCCTCTTACACTCGACATACATCGTAATTTGATGGGGAGTTTAAAATGAACTTCAAGTAAATACACATTAATAATTATGTAATCCCCTTTTTTTAATAATGACTATTTTCGCGTTCCGTTTCCGTTCCGTTCGTAGGAATCCCAGGATTTATATTTAAAAAATATGTTATGTTAGAAGCTATGTTAGAAGCCGCGTCCATAATTTCCTAGCAAAATGAACTTTAGGTAAATATGCATCCGATTATCCGATCACTACGTATATATGTATACAATACGTATGTATATACAATAAATCAAAACTTGGTTTTAGTAGTTCTAAAATAATTGATTGAATCTTATATCAAAATTTAAAAAAAAGGTAAATTTTCAAAGTTAATATTATATTTTTCTGAACGAATTACCAATACCATGAATAACATAATATCTTCAAAAGCGGCGATATCGTTTTTTGTTATTTAATTTGTCTAGGTTAAAAACCCTGTATAAAATAATTAATACATTACGATACAAAGGACTTAAGTAGCCGATTACTGAACCGTGTGAATTTAGTGCACTCGCGTCCTGATAACCACTCAAATGACCCGCAAGCTAATTGTGGCAACTATGACAAAATCCCCCCAATGGGGGAGGCTTTTGTTCAGCAGTGCACTTTAACAGGTGTATAACTGCTCAAAGTCGTATAATTTATTGTACAGAGGCCGTGTCATCTTGTCTATTGTGAATTCTGCATTTATTTCGTGTAAATATTTTTACGTGGTAGAGTTATGCTGCAGCTATATTAATTGCATAGTTGTAGTACGAATGGGTCGGCTCGACCGGGGAGGGACCACGCTCTCACAGAATACCAGCGTCAAATGGCAGCTTAATGCTGCTGTGTTTCGTATGGTGAGTGTAGAAAACCGGAGACCCTTTTTACTGGAAAAGAGGCATTCAAGCCTGCCTGCAAGGCCCTTAAGGCTGACAACGCATCTTCATTTTGATTCGCAAACGAGGATAGATGTCTGTAGATGTCTGAGGGTGGACTATGTGCTCGCTTGTCACCCTTTTCCTATATAAAAAAAATATTAACGAGCTTTTAATTCGCTTGTTCCAGGACCGCCGCCAGGTCTGAAGCCACCGGGCGTGGAGACGCCACCAATGAATGTAAGTAGCCGATAGAATGCATATTTATCTCTTCTCAGTGATACTTATAAGTGCTATTTTCAGCGATTTTCACCAAGTCGGTAGTGAAAAGTCGTAAAAAACCCTGTCTGATTCATGGAATTCTTTGTCGCTATTGCTATTTGATTCAATATTAAATAATATTTCCTGTATTTGATATATGAAATATTAAAAAAAAACACATTTATATAAAAAAAATATGATGATGATGAAAAATACAATGATTTCTATGCAGCTTAGAGATCGCTTTTTTGTAAAGACTGACGATACTTGACTTGTATAGAGCGAGGTTAGCAAAAAACCTTTTAGAATATAGTACAACATAGAACAAAGTATAGTGATGTTTATAATTTTGTTTATGCTTCATGTTCATTCAAGCTGTAAGTAATATATAACGACACCAAATTGATTACTGTTGTGAAATTTATTTCATGATTTGATGACATGAATTTGTTGGTAAGCTGCGTTTTTTAAAGGAATTATGTTAGGCTGCAGGCAAGGATAAAAAACAGGAATTATTTATAAAATATTCCATAAATATGAAAATTGTAATTTTCTTTCTTAAATTAATTAGGATGAGGGGTGGTCGCCTAGTGGTCAAAATGCAACAGTAATTCATAAATGATTTTTTGCAATTACGCAAATAACATACTTCGATTAAAACAAACTTTACAGATTTTATTGCGTTTAAATTTAACCTTTTAATTGCCGACGTTTCGCGAACTTTATAACATCTGTAGTCTCGTGATTGAGGTGACAAATTAGTAGCATAGTTTTGTAAACTTTGAACAAGCTTATAAAGCGATTTATATTTATATTTTTTAGTTCTTAGTAGGTATTTGGAATAGAATATTTTATATGCATGTTATAATTTGACTTTTATATTATATCATACAGATGCCGAGGTTAGACGAGCAGAGAGCTAGTACTCCTACAATCGATGAAGGGAGAGATCCAATGTCGTCACAGGTAAGTTATTGTGGATATCCTTAACACTAAATGAAATGTTCATAGTAAGTTTTTTATCCCTTGACCTTACCAGGTGACGCACTAGACGATCAGATTCGTTATTGTGGTACGAGTACGTACTGTGATTCTCATTAGGTAACATGCATGATGTTACGAACAAATGTCAATGAAAATAAAAAAGCTAATCGTCCGCAAATCGGATGCATATAATATATATACACACTGATGAACTTTATTACCGCCTTGAAAAAAAAAAAAGAATGTAACCTGTGAACGGAGTAGAAGCCTATGGCAATCATATTTTACAAAAAATAAAAACAAAAATGTTCTCCTCAAAGATCCTATAATATTTCAATTTGGTTTGTAAAAATTATCGAAAGAAATTTGAAATTCATATTTTTACTTGTGAAAATCGTATTTTCAAAATGAAATGTAACTAGTCTGTATCTCACACACAAAATATATCTTTAAAATTAAGTACAACATAGATAAATAATGTATTGAAGCTAATTAAAAATAACAATTCACAAAACTTCGTGGCTTCTTCTAACCACCTGAAACATTACCGATCCTATGATTAGCTCGTTTGTCATTAGTATAGATGTTAACTGCTTATAATAATGTCCGAAAGACCGAATTTTGGTCTGTGCAAGTGCAGATCAGGATTATAGTGCACGAGTGCGTGCGCAAGGACAGGTGCACTTTCTATTAGCGTTTTCAGATGCTCGAGGGTGAATCATCGCTAACTTCTCGATTTGGTCACGACCCGGTTTTCGGACGTGGAACATGATTGCTTTGATCACTAGATCAAAGAGGATTTTTCGGTTTGTGTGTATAAAGTTTTTGACAGGGAGGTTTACTTTTCTGTTATGGGTTGATAGCTTTTCCCATGGTTGATGTTTTGTTCACTTCCACTGTTGTATCTAATAGGTCTGGGAAAATTTCGTTGTACTTTGTTTGTATAAAATTGAAGAAAAATCTTTTTTGGTTGTTCTGTTTGTATCTGATTGGTTTTAATGTCAATACATGTAGGATATTAAGGAAAATAAAAATAAAAAGTAAAAAAACACTTTTCCGCCTTTTTTCAATTGTTTTTCTGTCCGCCAAAATGAGTGAATCTAAGGTAGAAATTCGATACATTCTGAAGTTTTATTACAAATAAGAGAAAAATGCGACTCAAGTCGCGAAAAAAGTTGTCAGTAAGTTTAGTACATAGTTGGTTTAAGCGTGTAAGACTTTAATGTATTGTCAGTAAGTTTAGTACAAAGTTGGTTTAAGCGTGTAAGACTTTAATGTATTGTCAGTAAGTTTAGTACAAAGTTAGTTTAAGCGTTTTCAGTCTGGGAATTTTGATGTTAAAAATGCAGCTCGCTCTTGTCGCCCTCATACGGATAAAGTCGATGCCATTTTTAAAAAAGTGGAGCAAGATCGGCATATTAGTAGTTGCGACATAGCCGAGAAATCGAGAATTGACCTTAAAACGATTTTGACCCATTTGAAAAAGTCTGGCTACACATAAAAGCTCGATATTTGGGTACCACACGAGCGCACTTGAGGAAACCTAATGAATCGTGTACTCAGTTGTGATTCTCTATTGAAACGTAATGAAACGGAACCATTTTTGGAAGATTGATCACTGGTGCTGAAAAGTGGTTCACCTACGATGTGAACGTGGGAAAAATCATGGTCAAAGGGTAGTCAAGCTCCACAGACTAGCGAAATCTGGATTAACACGCAATAAGGTGGTGCTGTATGTATGGTGGTATTGGAAGGGCATCGTTTATTATAAGCTTTTACCGACGGGCAAAAACATCGATTCGGATCTTTAGGAAAATTTTTCCCCGAACTTATATGTTTGGTGATCGCAATAGCAGAGATACTTTGGCATTTGGCGCTCTCCGACTCAGATTGAACTTTTCTCTACAATTTATCACAGGCCAAGAGTTTTGTTAACTCTTTTCTTAGTCTACTATTACGTACTATTACGACACCAATGGAATATAAATTATGCAACTTTCTTTTCAAGTTATTAAAGAATATTACATAAAAGTGAAGGTATCTTAATATCCTTTTCTTTAATGAAACATTGTCTTGCAGGTTGCGTTTAATCGAGCCCCACCTCCTTTTATACCAAGAGTGCCGCTGCCGTCTCAACGCTATCCCAGGTACGTGAAATAAATAACATATGTATATAAATGATTAGTTAAAAATGTTAATAATAAATTTTGCTCACCATTATATGTAACAATATTAACTAACCCATATCCCGTGGGTGACCTAAAAGGCGAAACAAATCAGTAGATAATAACGACTTAAAATAAAATCTCAATTGTTTGCTAAGCGTGACAACTATGGCAAATATCTCCCAGCAGTGAACTTCAATAGGCTGTAACGGTGACTGTAAGAGTAGCGGTAATAATTATTTATTTATTTTATTCAAGAAAGAAAAAGTTTATTCTTAATAACAACACAACCGTCTTTAGTAGAAAAATTAAAATAATCTGTTGGTGCCTCTAATGTTACTACCTTTCACTTCACGTGCAGTTATCGGATATTTTATGTTTATAGAATTAGGCCACAGTCTAACTACTATTAACAGTTGGTCATCGAAGGCGTCTAGACAGGGCAATCGTGCGGTGCGGTGCAGAGCGCTCCCGAGCGGCCGTTAGTAGCGTTCCACCAATTTTTAAAAGTATCGATACCTACTCGATACCAAGTATTAAATATCGCAAAAATACACAATAATTATTCAATTTTATATTATTCATTCAAAATTAAATTACAAAATAAAGGAACTAACAACTAATTACTCAACCACCAATCTTGTACATCGCAATCTGACAAAAAGTAGTTTATAAAGTAATTACTGTTTTTAAACAGGAGGATATAAAAATGTATTTAGATCAAACTCATTTAATCTGATCGTTTTGTGTGTCGTTTTTAATGAAATAGTACATTAAAGATTAACCAGATATTGCTAATACGTTCTCATAGATTCTTATAAGCTGCGTTATTTTCTATTTAATATATATTACTTTGATATATTATTATATTTAACTTTATCCGCAATTGCTTTTTTAAACTGTACATGAATGAAAAATCTGTATTTCGATCAACCCCATACAATCTGATCGTCTTCTGATTCGGATTATCTGATAAATTATTCAACTAATAAATTCTCATAACAAAAAACATTGTGAACTCATCATTAATCTCTTTATCAAAACAATAAGTCGAAACTGCCGATACTTTATTTTGATTTTCTTTCCATTTTTCTGATCATAATCCCATGAAAACTATACAAAAACATAAGTGCTATTTAATAATACAACCTCATTCACTCTAGCGATAAATTCTAGTACCGCAATTCTGGGTCAATTAACTGGGAATACTGATACAATCCGATTAGTCGTTCCTATAGCAGATAAAATCCAGTGAATTCATTATTTTTTTTCCAATCTGCATCTGCACATGTGCAGTAGTAAAACCTGTAGGTCATCCTTATTTAAATATAAGGAATTAAAGTTTTATCAGTTTTCACATACACAGGAATTAGTTAATACGTGAAATAAAATAAAACCAGATTTTATTTTTTTATTACTTACCATTCTTACAACCAAACCAACCAAATCTTCCAATCAAAAATTTATCTGAAAAACAGTATCAAACGCGATGACTTGACTGTATGTTCTTCTTAGGCTGTGATCAGGCGTTACTTTGTGGAAATCCATTATATATAATATGCTTAAGATATTAAAATATATTAAAAATTTTAAAGCGAAGATCCGTGTATTAATATAAAATTTATTTATTTTATTAATTTATTTTTATTCTTTGTTGCATCCTTAAAACAAAAGAATACAAAGGGCGGACTTAATGCCTTGAGGCATTCTGTACCAGATCTATCATAATATCTAGTTTGAAGAGCGCATCCCGCTTTCCCTCAATTGTGAGCACTACCCCTAAACTACCAATCCCTTCCCAACATGACTACACTAGAAAAGACACACCACCTTCGATAATACGACACGTGTTTCGCTTCTTAATGAGGCATCCTTAGGTGAGGCATCCTGAGGTAGTAGAGCCTGTGGTGGCTGACCACACTTAGTAATAAGTGTTTAATGTGACAGCGGGCACGTGGTTAGTGATATCTTATTCTTACGAGGAAATTACGTGGAATGGAGGGGTTAGAGAAAGAAAGAAGGATTTTTAACTTCCAGCTAAGAAAATTGAAAATGTTCTAAAATAGGGAAGTTGTTTGTGTTGTAGTGGTTTCACCACGATTTTCGAAAACGTGTGTGCGCCTGCATGCCATAACACCATTTTAACAGCTGGATTTGAGTTAGCAGCACGTTTCACATTTTTTATCGCAGCTTCTGTTGTCAGTCTGGCGATTGATATAAATATATAACAATTTATTAAATTATAACTGACGACCTCAGATTGAGGCTCAGCCGAATCGTGACTACTTAAACTTTTACCGCTATAACGCTTGAAATGTGTATTTGTATTGTTGATTAGAGTACTAGCCGCTTTGTGTTACATTTACCTTCTGCTATTTTCGAGGTAGTTATTTATTAATACCTACAGTCGTTGTTGCATTTTCATTTTTAAACGATACTTCAGGATGGGCGAAAAAATTTCTTACGGAAGCGCCGTTCGAAAACGTATCAATTCATCATTTTAATGTTAGTGTTTTAAAAAAATATATCTCTCCTTGTCCTCAGTCAATCGTACGGACGTCGCGGGCCACCGCCAGGTCCGCCCTTTAGTGATCGCTACCGTGCACCGCTCGAGCCTTATCAGCCTCCACCGCCCGGAATTAAGGATTCTCCTACAAACGGGTAAAGAACATCTTACATTCATTTATAGTATATAAGATGTGAATAGATGTGTGAAATTGTAAAAATACTACTTTTTATATTTTATGGTTCTATTTCTAACTTTAAAGATATATGGTAATTTTCACACACATATACCCAAATACTCAACATTGCTGAATTTTAAGATGCCGTTAAATCTTGTGCTTTCTCTATCACTTCAAGTCAAAGTGACTTTGACACTACGAGACTTAACGACATTTTAAAATTGAGTAGCGTTTGAGTATTTGGCTATTAAATATTTCAATACTCTTAACAGTTTATATATACCATGTTTATAATATTTCTATACAATTTGTTTATCATGGCCTTTTGATTTTTTAAATGCATTATGAAATTAGATATATTTTTATTATTTGTCGTGATATGTACATGTTCATAAAATTAGAAAATAAGTGTCTAAAGACGAAACCGAGGCGAAAATTCAGTTGATAGGTTCGTAAATTTTTAATAGGCATGGCGAGGACCCCCTCGAGGCGTTCAATCGAATGATACGTGAAAAGGAAATGCGAGCGAAGCGGCGCGAAGAGGAGCGTAGACGAGCGATTTCGGGTTCGCGGAGCCCGACGCGTTCGAGGACGCGCTCACCGCGCTCGCCGCGCTCGCCGCGCTCGCCGCGCTCACCCCGCTCACCACGGGCGCGTCCTCGTAGTCGCGCAACTAGCCGACTTCGTTATTCTAGGTTCGTTCTTTCTTTGTTCTCAATATGAATGTTGTCCTATTTGTTTTGCATGTTTGCGTTTCGATTTGGTGGCGGGATAATCTGTTGGCTTCATAAATATACATTTTACTATTCATTAGTTATTTATTTTCTAGTCTTATAGAATTATTTAGAGTTTCCCTTTTTATTATAATTTGTACGTACATACATAAGTCTACAAACTCTCACCTGTCACCATATGGGTAGGCAGAGACGACGGATTTCTATTTAGTACAATCCTGGCAGAGTCACTATAAAGTATTTTATTTTATATTGGTTTGTTTTTTGATGCGAAAACAAATATAAAGCTCTTCGTTTATTTCACCTCACCACCGAAATTAAGTTATAAAGTAGGTTGAATGCAGTGAGGTCAAGTCTGTCATGTAGCGATAGGTGTGTAGCAATTAATTGAAATCACCTATTTTTCTCTTTTTCTTGGCTACTCGATCGATTTTATTGCCAATTATATTAAATTATGTGAAGAACAATGTTTTTATTTGCTTTATATAACCATGATGTAAAATGTCAATTTATGAGTTATTATTATTGTATTCATCAAAGATAGCTCTAAGAGTAACTCTTCAGCCTTCTTTATGACTTCATTATTAACAAAAGTTTAAAAAGTCACTAAACACTTAATTTAGTTATCTTATGAAACATTTTAAGTTTTAACCACTTGTTGAGATTCCATTTCGTTATCCACAGTTGAAATAGGTTTTTGTTTTCCTTGAAGGAAGTAATTAGTGATCAGGTGGCATTTTTATTTTTTTTATTTTAAATTTATCCTAAAACAGTTGCAGTTATTTAAAATGCATAAAAATTATTTTTGATTGTTCAAAGTCATTTTAATGTGTTCGGGGTAGTACCGACACTAAGGGGGTGATAAACTGATAACGCAACGCTTGATAAATTTGATAAAAATATATTGTGGATAAGTTTGCTAAATAGAAGGCTAGAACTACTGACAATGAGTACGCGTAGCGCTCTTGATGACTATAAGCAAACTGATTTTAATATGTTGTAAAAGAGGTCAAGTTGTAAAATTATGACTTGATAATTGTAGGTTGCATTGCATGCTAGTACATAATGTAAGATACAATTAGCAGAGATGTCTATTTCGTGAACAAATTGGACACGAATAAACTTAAACATTAAGCAGGCGTCTGTCACTCTTGCTACCTGCGTGAAATAATTACCTACAATCGCGAGACGGCCCGGGCCGCATACGCGGTCGGATCTAGCGCGTTGTAGGCGAGTGATTGTTAAAGTTTCTTTTAACGCTGCTTACGTAAATAGTTTTTTGTAAATACTTGTTGAAACAGTTTTTGTTTAATGTTTGCTATATTTAATTGTAGGATAAAATAGTTGAAAAAGTTTTAATGTAATTAAAAAATTATATATATTATGTATATTACCTATTTGATATTTTATTTGATGGTAAAACGTCGTTCCTACTATAATTGTTGCGTGGATGGATGCTAAATGACCAACAAAAGGTTGCAGACATATCATTCTTTAAGTTACCGAAGGATTTTAGCAGAAAGTTATGAGAAGTGAGTCTATTTAATTTTTTTTGTTACGTAGGTACTTATAACAAAAAAGAATTAAGCCCTTTCGCTCGGCTACCAATCTAATCAGATCATACAATACCTACCTTACGCCCGCTCTAGTACGGGGCTAATTAGATCAGATAATATCAGAAGTACTGCCTTATGAAAAAACTACTTTTTCCTTTAAAACAAAACCAAAGACAATATGCAATAGATAATAGTATCAAAGACAAAGATATGCTCTTTTATTTTAAACCATAACCTGGCAATGTTTCTTAGAAAAAAAAAAGAAATCACTCTAAACTTTCGGCGTTCCACGTGTCGTTTTGATGAATGTGCTCCGTCTTTTTTTATAGAATTTTATAATTGTGTCTGGACTAAAAATGAAAGTATTATACTTTTTTTATATTCCTTGTAATATAGTGAACACGAAGATATATAATTTGTGGTATAAAAAGTGAAAAGTAAATTGCCAAAAGTGCTTCAAAATCTGGAAGGCCCATTATGGCGGCTGGGTCATAAATGTGGTATTTTTCACATTCTCATTTATTTTTAGTGTAAAATGTAAGTAAAAATAGTTTTCTTACATATTTCAAATAACTTGACGTTGTATTTATTTCAAATTCACACAAAACTATTTTAGAAATATTGTTCTAAATGTCACACAGATAAAATATTAATATTTAATTTTTTTTAATTTCTTTATATTTTATATTTTGGTATGAGTAACGAATGGAAACACATAAAACATAAAAATATACATATTTCCAAACATTTTCATATAAATTTCTCTAAAAACAAAAGTGTAGAATTCAAATTAGTAGTAATTTTGTCACTAAAATTGAAGTATATGGTACTACTATGCTATACAGGGTAATTTATGTATTTTATTACAATTTCTAGCAACCAAAAATAATTTTATTCGATAGTTTATACATTCAACAAGAAATCCTGTAAGTTTTATCCATAAATATTGTCTCAAAGTGAAAATATAGCAAAATTTGCAATATAGCAAAAAATTTGCTAATTTGCAAATTTTCCCGCCATTACGGTCCCGAGCGAACGGGAGTATAACATGTCGCGCGCTGTCAGAGCTTACAGGTTAAGTAATAATTTCAACTACAGGCATAACACCTAGTACTTTATGACAAAATTTTGTTGAAATTAACTTCACTATCCACGTATCTACTTATATATCACTTCATGTCTTTTGTAACATACATAAAACATAAACACTCACGCCTGTCACCCAGAGGGGTAGGCAGAGACTACAGACTTCCATTTGGCACGATCCTGACACACCTCTCTCGCTTCCTTCACATCCATACACCTACGCATACATGCTCGTCGGTTAAGGGTACTCCTAATTTGGCCCGTTTTCAATAAATCGCCAATTTGGTCGATAAATTTTCGCCTAGGACGTCCCTTTCCGACTCTGCCATTCACTTTTGCAATATAAATTTTCTTTGTCACTCTTTCCTCATTCATTCTTTCCACATGACCAAACCACCGAAGCATTCCTTTCTTAATCCTGGTCACAACATCATCTTGCAAACCACACTCTTCTCTTATTACACAATTTCTTACTCTGTCGTTCAGATTCAGCCCTAACATACTCCTTAACGACCGCATTTCTACTGCGTTGATTCTACTCTCGTGTTTCTTCTGCCACACCCAACTTTCAATACCATACGTTAAAGTAGGGACCAACACAGCATTGTGAATTGCCATACGTGCCTTTTTTGACTCTTCACAATAGAGTGCAGGTCCCCATTTACTCTATTACCCGCATTCACTCGTCGTTCTATATCCTTATCACATCTCCCATCCCTGCTAAATACGCAGCCCAAATATACAAACTCATCTACTTGCTCGATCAACTCCCCTTCTATTCTTATTTCACAAATCGTTTTACTTTCTTCTCTTTCAAAAACCATAACCTTCGTCTTACTTGCGTTCACTTTCATACCCCTTTCTTTTAATGATCTGTTCATTAATGTAACCATCATTTGCAACTCGGCCGCCGACGACGCAAGGATAACTTGATCATCGGCGTACAAAAGGCATTTGACGGTTAACTCACCCATTCTTAATCCGCATTCTTCAACTTTCAAATTTTGCAAACAACTGTCCATAAATAGGTTGAACAGCCACGGGGAAGCCACACAGTCCTGTCTGACACCTTTATGGATGTCAAACTAGTCCGAGTAGACCCCGTTGATCCTAATACAAGCACTAGAGTCCCTATAAAGAGACTCCAATGCCTGTATCAAGCCAGCGTTCAACCCAAATGAGTTCAGTGTTTGCCATAGCACATCCCTATCAACTCTGTCATAGGCCTTTTCCAAGTCCATGAACGCACAAAAAACCTTTTGGTTTTTGGCCAAAAACTTCTCCGCGATCATGCGCATGGAAAAGACTTGATCTGTACATCCCATTCCCTTTCTAAATCCCGCTTGCACATCCCAAATTTTTCCATCAGTTTCTTTCATGACCCTTCCAATCAGTACCTTAGCATACAGTTTTCCCGCAATGCTAAGAAGGCTGATGCCACGGTAGTTTTTACAGTCCTGCTGCGACCCTTTTCCTTTATATACTGGGACTATCACGGCTTTGCACCAGTCTACCGGTACCCGCTTCAGTTCCCAGCATAAATTAAACAAGGTGTGCAGCAGGCCTGCCACGACTTCCTCTCCAGCCCTTAGCATTTCGAGTGAAACTCTATCATATGCGCCTTTTGCTTTTCATTCTGCATATTTCACCTATACTTATCTCGCTACCTCTTTCCTCTTCTTTCGGAATTTCTACTTCTCTTAGTATACACGTTGTCTCCTCACTCATAAACACGCTTTCAAAATATTCCTTCCATCTCTTTAAACTCAAAACTTCATCATTCAGAATATAGCCGTTCTCATCTCTTATAGCATTCATCATAGCCTGTTTTGAATGTCCCCTGGCAGTTCTTACAATTTTCCAGACAATTTTAATATTTGCCTGGAAGTTATCCGATATTCTTCTATCATTCTTATCCGTTCTTTCTTGCTTTTTTTCTTTCAACTACTTCTTTTACTCTCTTAAGATGTCTAAAGACTGCCTTTTTTCTTTCAATATCATCATTCGTACCGCTAGAATTACCAGCATTTGTTGCTAGTAAATCTAGCCATGCTCTCTTCTTTGCTTCAACTTCCATACGTGTCTCATCATCCCACCATAACGTATTATTTTTCCTCTTTTTTTTTTGTACTTAAAATATTTTAAGTTATAATAATACAAAATATTGAAATCAAAACTTTGTTTACTAACAAGATTTTAACTAAGTAGCATACGATTATATTTCTGTTAGGAATCGGATTTCAGGTTTATTTGTTGTTAACATTTTATACCTATTTCTTTTGAACCAAGCATCGCGATTCCCAACGAATGGTCTTGTAA